TAACCCTTGACTTGGTGTTGTCAGCACCACGCTCACCCAGTGAGCAAACCAGCCATCCCTAATATGGGATCTGAACCCGTAGCCTTGGTGTTATCAGCACCGCACTCTCCTGAGTGAGCCACGGGCCGGCCCTCCGGTGAACTTTAGACTGAAGAAGCAATTAGATGGCTGCACGAAGAAACGCGCCCATATGCATCTGGACCAGGGAGTCCAAATGTAAGGCACAGAAGCAGGTCAGGGAGTAGAGACCCAAACAAAGCCAGGTCTTCACAACACTCTTACAGCCTTGAAATGAGTTTTCTCACCTGTGCTTGTTTCTGCATTTCTCCTTTAAGATCATCAAAATATGTGCTTTCTCCTTCATCATATTCTGCATCAAACATCTCTTTCAATTTTCTCTTCTTATCCAAATGCTTTTTCTTGGCACTTTCCTCTTCATGGGGGTCAATTTCTTCTTTAACTTCTTCTTCTACATCTTCAATCTTAAATTTCCAGAAGAGAAAATTTTGTAGAGTTTGTGGAGATTTTTTTCTTTAAACATTAAAGCACATTTTAAAAGTTCTATTTGAACTGAAAAAATCTTAGTTATGATCATCACAAATAAAACAAAAAAGACACAGCCTTTGGTATAAACAACAAATAATAACATGGTTTTACTACACTAGACAGCCATCTGCACTGCAATTAGCTGCCATTCCTGGGAGTGCCAAACATGAGTAAAAATAACAGCAAATGCCCCAACCTAGATGCTACCAGACACTGTTCTAAAGAAATATTAGGGAGAACGAGGAATTCATTTTTTAAAATGACACTTAAATTTAACAAGAGGAGAATGACGGCAAAAGTCATGGTGGAGAGGAAAACACAGGGGCGAAAACTTCCATGGTCAAAAAACCATAAGGAACTGATAATTACTATCGCAAGAAGGGGTAGTAGGTGTCATCCAAAACCAGGAATAACAAATAAACAACCTTTTATCTGTCCCCACATCCTCGCGCTTTTAAGAAAGAATCTATCCATCTGAACTACACTCTACAAAGACAACAAATAAGAATTGCATTTCTCAGTATGGGCCTCTCTCAGAACACACTGACCTCAGATCAAGCTGACAGCTGTCATGGCAAAGTCATACCTGAGTATCTGAGACTGATTTTCCCTTGTGCACGTCCCCCGTTTCTAGGTCTTCAAAGTCACCGTAGAGCTCCTCTGGGAAAAGAACATCCAAATGGCTCCTCTGTGAATGGGCCTACATGCGACACGAGCACACACTGGCCCAGCACACTGTGCGCTCTGCATTCCGAACTTCATTCTCACTGTCCCCTCTACTACATAGGCAAAAAGAACCATGNGCATTTCTCAGTATGGGCCTCTCTCAGAACACACTGACCTCAGATCAAGCTGACAGCTGTCATGGCAAAGTCATACCTGAGTATCTGAGACTGATTTTCCCTTGTGCACGTCCCCCGTTTCTAGGTCTTCAAAGTCACCGTAGAGCTCCTCTGGGAAAAGAACATCCAAATGGCTCCTCTGTGAATGGGCCTACATGCGACACGAGCACACACTGGCCCAGCACACTGTGCGCTCTGCATTCCGAACTTCATTCTCACTGTCCCCTCTACTACATAGGCAAAAAGAACCATGCTCTTACTTAGGCTTTTAAAAACTGTCAGGATTTCTTTATCTGTTTAGGTAAAGTAAAGGGACCTAACCCACACTTCCATACTTTACTTTGAAATCCCACTTAACCAAGAGCTATTTTTCCAGTACAGGTAACGGACACTCTATTGAGAGAGATGCAGAGGTGGTACGCATGGCCCTGCAGGTAAGTCCCTGAAACCAAAAGTACAATGAGGGAAGAGAAAAGCCATGCCTTGATGACAGCACATGCGAAAAAGAGTCTTGACAGCAAGTTCAACACAAAACAGTCATGTCACACAACTAGGGAAAATCTTAGATTACATCAAGCATAGAATTTAGAGCAAGAGTAGAGCCCAAAACAGTGCTGAAACCACAGGAAGAGCTCATTCATTCATCAACTCATTCATTCATTCATTTTTGGAGCTCTGGGTTCAGTTATAGGTCCTCCTCTGAAAAGAAATAGACAAGTTAAAACTCCTTTGGGAAAACAACATTTCAGTTATAGGTCCTCCTCTGAAAAGAAATAGACAAGTTAGAATGGTATTAAAACATTTTCACATGAGAAAGAGACAAATAACTAGGTAGAACATATAATAGATTGGAAACTCCTATTTATAATAAAAACGAAACGATAAAATACTCAGGAATAAACCTAGCAAGAAATAAACACTGGCGGGCCAGCCCGGTGGCGCACGGGAGAGTGCGCTGCTTGGGAGCACAGCGGCGCTCCCGCTGAGG